TACACGATCCTCGGATTTGAAGCTGCACGGCACGGAAACGGAACACATCAGTGGAACATGTCCCAGACCACATTATTCGACGCTTTACACGTAAGATGCAGGCAAACCTCCCGCATCATCCCCGAATACTAAATCTCCACAGTTCAGCTACATAATGACTGCTCTCTACGGCCCTTTAATTATGGTCCTCAAGGTCTCGATCCTGCTCCAACTCAAACGCATCTTCTGTCCGCAAAACCTAGGCACCATCAGCCTCATCGTCCGCATACTGATTCCCTTGCACATCGTGGTGTATACGGTCGGATTCATCACCGCGATGCTCCTCTGTATACCTATGGAGAGATACTGGCACCCTTATCTCGCAGGAAAATGCAGTAACAAACTAGTGGCGTTTACCATCCATGCTGCTTTCTCGGTGCCGTCGGATTTGATTATCCTGGTCATTCCCCTCATCAAGATTTGGGGCCTACAGCACATTTCTGGAGGAAGGAAATTGGCGTTGACTGCCATCTTTGCCACGGGTCTGTTGTAAGTAGATATTCCGTGCTAGAGATACCTGATGTTAACTGCAATAGGGCCTGTGCGTCAGGCATCATGCGATTATACTACACCACGAAACTGCAGAACAATAATGATTATACATATGGCATGTCCAGGGTGTCTACATGGTCGGTAGCTGAGATTGCAAGTGGCATAATCTGCGCTTGTCTTCCAAGTGTTCCTCCATTCGTCAGGCACTGCATACCCCGTTTACGAACATTATACGGTACGGTAACGCCGAAACGAGAAACGTCACCGGATTCATTCTCGGGACTAGGAGATAGTCGGGACACGATCGATTCGATTGTTAGGCTAGATGCTATGGGGGTGAAACGGGATGATCGGTCGTTATCTTCTGTTTAGCTACCTTCAATATCATTAGGGACGAAGCTTTGGACTTCTTTTTACTTCGAATTCTTTCTGTCCTGAAATATGGAAAGTCGAGCTTGACTTTCCGCACTTGACTATGCAGGTATGAATCGAACGTAATTGTAGACTCCTAACCTTCCGCACTCAGCTATACAGATATAGATCAAACGTAATTAGAGACTCCTAATCTTTAACCTTTAGTTAAAACATACAGGTTTTCTTCGGTAAACTAGAAGATTCATAGCGAGTTATTACGCCTTGCAACACATCTCGCAACACATGTATCTACAGAATAAGCTCCGATTCAGTTTCATGTCAATATCGTCGGGTGCAAGAAATCAAAGTTCTCCTTCAATTCTGCAACTACGCCTCTAAAAACCGCCCGTTGAAAACCTGTATTATCTAGGCTCGTAGTGCAGTGATCAAAGTCGCACCAAATACCTAAGACAATCATTAGCCGGATTATTGGGAGGGGGGGGGGGGGGGGGCTCAAGAGTTCTTCTACTTACATCTACCGACAGCGTTGGCATATTTAACCCCTGCATTGCTGTAAAGCTCATTAAGGAGCCTACCAGCTGTTCTAAACTCGGCCGCAGATGGTGTGAGTTCGGTAATGGTCGTTGTGGATTCGATAATGGTTATTATCTTTGAGTCATCTGGCTTTTTCAAATCTGCAATCGATGACCCATACCACAGCTTAATGAGCGAGACACCGAGCCCGTAAAGCGTTTGATTGCGAATGGCCATGCGCATAGTACTGTCAGTAGTCGCCGGTCGCTCAGGGCTAGCGAGGCGTTGCGTGACGAAAGGATGACTATAGACGATATTGTCCGATCGTTTGATGAAGAGAATGTCATCCTTCGTCCAGTCATCATTCAGCCATGGAGTTTCATGCAATTGCAAAACGCTGCATGCTAAAGTTACTGATAGCTGGAGGCGGGTTTGTAGAGGAAATGTACCATCTTGCAACACGGTTCGAAGTGTTAACGTAGTCCAGACTTCAGTGTCCATAGGCCGTTCCCTTGCAGGGTATATCAAGAGGCCGTACTTTTGTTTCGCGTACTCGCCTGCTAAAAGCGACAGGCATGCGGCTCGTTGAGATTTTTGTAAGGTGTTGATAGCAACGCACAGATTCTTGATTGGTTGCATATCCGGATCTGGTTTGAGCGCTGCCTTGACGGCCTTCTTTGCTTGATCTTCAAAACGCACTCCCTTTCCACCAAAAGGTGCAGCTTGGGTAGTTGATTGTTTTTCGACAGTGATACGTACGTCTGCTTCCTCCCACGACCATTGCTTCTGAGATGATATTGGGCTAGTAGGCGACGTAGGTCCATCATGGGTATTTCGAAAAAGCACATGGAAAGGGTCCTTAATCAATACCTCATCATCGCTATCATCACTTTCGTCGCGATCAATACGAGGTTCCAGGCGAAGGTTAACACTGTGATTGGAATGGCATGTACACTGCCACCCAGCACGTATAGCCGAGTGAAAGCCCTGAGCGCGATCGTTGATCAAATTGAAGTTCGGAACTGCGTGGTTGCTAGTTACGCTCGACATGCGAAGAGACTGAAACGTCATAGTCTGATTGGTGATTCGATGCAGCGAATCGTTGGATCGTCGAAGAGTAGCTACCAGGTCATTATAATTGGCTTTTCGCAGGCTGAGCTTTAGACCCTTATAGCAATCTTTGAATGCATATGAATCCGTCAATGTGAGGTTGCCAGCCGAATCCAGCTTCAGCCTTCTCTTAAGTTTATCCACTGTCTGGAGGAGATCGTCCATCGTTGCGATGTATGACTCATAGCTAGTCCCCAAGCGTTGCTTCAGCTTCCGGTCAAATTTCGCATCTTTCCATCGACTGCCGCGGGGATCTGAGAAGAACTCAGACAAGTCTTTGGAGTTGACCGTCCCCACCAGTAGTTTATTCAGCGTGTTAGCATAGACGGCGTTCTCTGCGCTAAGTTCGCGGATCAGGCTGCGGAGCTGCTCATGGTATCGGAAGCTGCGTTTTGTGGTCTCAATTCCCCGCATATAGAAAGTCAACCCCTCTAGAATGATTGGTATTAAGCTGAGAACGAGACCATCTGTCTCCACACCTGTCACCATGATGTATGAGCGTATTGAGATACACTTCGAGGAGTGGGACATCACTCACACAAGGACCAAATTCCCCGCCTGTGAAGGTTTTCTCCAGAAGCGCTTGGGAAATGCAATTTCTGGGAGACATCATTACCTCTCGTATCGCGAAGAACACCATAAAAAGCTTGCAAAGAACGTAGAATTGATCGGGGTCGAGGCACCAAAGACACAGTATACAAGCAACAGCACAGAAGCAACACCGCTTCCAATAGCCCGTGCAGCAAGTTTTGATGTTTCGGATGATGATGACGGTACGTAAAACCGATGTGTAGTGTTAATCCCGGCGCATGTCACATCGTTCACTCCCAATCTGTTGAACAAGCCTCGCTAACTCTTATTCTCAACTCTAGCTCTTTCCCAAACTTCGTATACCCCGTCCGAAAATGCCACAATTCGCGTTCCGCAATTACCAAAAGAGGCGCACGAGCAGGAGCATTATGAGTGTCCTTTGTGTTTCATGGTGATCTCAATCCACACGAAGAAGGCCTGGAAAAATCACGTCTACCGTGACCTTCATCCTCGAAGCCCATGTCTCAGGAAACCATCCGGGGCTTGCATCCCCCACGATGCTCTCTGCTCTCAACCAGACAGCAATGAGAAGTGCAGACATATCTTCTCAGGCGAGTTGCCCATTCTGCACTGCAAAAATGTCTCTACAGGCTTTACAGCGCCACATCGGGAGGCATCAAGAACAGCTCGCCCTCTTCGCTCTTCCGTCCAACCTGGACAGTACTGAAAACGGTGAGAAAGACGATGAACACGAAGCCGTGGATGTAGACGAATGGCAAGACGAGGACTCTGACATTAGCGATACAGAAGAGGACCACATGACAAGTGGCAATGAGGAACCTTGGGCCGAAATCAATGCCTCGAGTGAGGAGCATGCAACAGAAGCAAACCAATTTGATACTCCTGCGACGACCACACACAAAAGCTCCACAGGCAAAGAAATACTGAAGGACGGCCAGCTACCCATTGGATCGGAAGACGTTATAGCTCCAACGGATGACACTGAGACTGAAGGTCAAGAATCCCTCTTCGACCGCATCATCCGCCATGTGGAATTTGACACCCAGCACTTTTCTTCTCAATCCCATATTTACCAACAGGCTTCAGACTACCTGGAGGCACCCAAGGGAGGGTAGATGGAGGGTTCGGAGTCCCTTGCAGTAGTTGGTGGTCTCCTGCGCCCTTTACTAGATTTAATGGAAGGCTTCCAACGATCCCTCCCTCCAGGAAACGACATGTCCGGCCCTTCCACCACGATAGGAAGTGGAGACACTCCAAAGCCCACTAAGGATCCCGTGGAGCTCAACCATGCTACAACAGTCCATGCACTCGAATCGCCTCCGTATGAGGAGATCATCCGCCTCAAATGGCGTATGAGAGAGGCGATCGAACCACTTGAGTCGTACAGAGCACGTTTCGGGGAGATAAGCTCCGAGAGCCCAGATCACGACAATATGAAAGAGATTATTAGGCGAAACAGGAGCTATATTAGGAGGGTTGAAGAGGAGGTTGTCGCGTACAACGCAAGAATGACAGCGAAGAAGTCGAAGGATGTTTGAACACACACTCTATACTTACATTTTTCTTTGGATAAAGAGAGACCAACTAGAATCCATAGAGTAAATGCAACTTCCACATCTTCCTGTATTTCAACAATCAGGCCCACCCTCAATCCTGTCTGACGACGCCTTTACACATAACGAGCTCCTGGTCCGGGGTCAGAGGCGGAGGAATAGATAGACTGAACAATAACCAAGACTCTACCAAACCCTGTGTACGACCAATACTCAGTACCAGTGAATACACATCACCCCGCCGAAAATCGATTGCATGGACGAGGTGATTATATTCACTCACTCACTCACCCATACCACCAACCAACCCCCACCACCCTCACTATATAAGTCTTTTAAATCCTAAAATCAGTATCAATGCTAGAGGGGCAAGTGGTGCAAAAGGTAGCACTTCGTAGTAGGCAGGGGGAGGAGACTTGACTAGACGCTAGCAGGGACGGGAAAGATTTTGGGTTACGATGACTCAGGTTCGAATCCTGACTTGCCTCTAATTCTTTTTTTGCTATTTTTTTGACCTTTTTTTTGCCAAGTTTTGACATCGAATTGCTTCTTCTTGTTTTTTCTCTTTCAGGATATGTTCACGAGTAATAAATAGAAAGTGAGTGAATAAACCCATCCTCCCTACTCCTCCGTTCAAGTACGTACGCAAAAAACAGCAAAAAACAAAACCAAGTCCAGCAAGCAAGCCATCCAAACAACGCCCTCCCTAACGAAAATCAAAAGAAAGCCTCGCCTCCTCATTAAACTCCTTCGCAAACCCCACCAAAACCTCCATCCTCTTCTCCGCCAACCTCCTCCCAGTCCCCGTCTTCATCAACCCAGGCAACTTAAGCAACTTGTCATTGAAATGGTCAATCGCCACCGCCATCGGCTCACCCTTTCTCTTCGCGCCAGCATAGGCAAAGCACCTCGCAACGCCCACAGCGCCAATAGCATCGAGGCGATCCGCATCCTGTACGACGCCCAGCTCAGGAAACCTCCGCAGGACATCCGCGACGCTGCGCGGATTGCGGAGCTCGTGGGTATAGCTCACATGGCGGACGACGGCCTGGACTCTTTCGGCGAGGGAGAAGGCGACGCCGTGGGAGAGGAGGAGTTGGGAGACTTGGTTTGCGGGGTCTTCTCCTACTTGGACGTACTTGTGGTCGCCGACGTCGTGGAGGAAGGCGGCGAGGAAGAGCGCGGTGGTGTCGTAGCTGAGGGTCGGGTTGGCGGATTGCTCGGCTCGGAGGATTAGGTGCGCGTTGGAGACTACGCGGAGGATGTGCTGGTAGTCGTGGGAACTGTCGTGGGCGGGGGAGGACATGTAGGTGTGTACGAAGGTGTTGATGGTGGTGAAGAGGGGCTCGGATGAGGCGGGGATGGGGAGGTTGGGGAGGGGGGGTTTGGTGGACATGGCTTTTCTTTTCTTTTGTTGCGTTGGTAGAGTTGGAGTGAGGGGAAGAGAAAGAGAGGGAGAGGAGATGGATGAAATAATGGACGCGTGAGAAGAGAGTTAGTTATGTAAGACTGTCCACACGAAGGCAGCCGTCTTCTGATGCGATGGTTGAAACACTACTGCAGCGCACGGAAACTGCGGGATGTAAGAGATGTGTGCTTGGTGGATTGGATAGGAAAGCGAGATGGACATTTCGCGCGTCGTTCGGTGGAGTTCGAAGGGAAGCGAGCGGTCAACGCGTGGTCACATGCATCGCCGTTCCTGTCACGGAACGCCCTATCTGGACTCTAGATATCTCGATGGAGAAGTGGGAAATGGGAGAGATGGATGCATAGATGGGACTTGGGCCCTTTGGGTTCAGATGAAAGGGCGGGTTGGTAGGTGATAGGGTGCCTAGAGGACATCTGGAGCTACTAAAGGAGCTACTGTTGACCGGACCGCGATAATTCAAAGTTCGTCTCATCGATCACGAAGCCATGGAAACTCTCAAAGAGAGAGAGAAACTCGGCAAGGCCGTGAACTGGAAAAGGGTGCGGAGATCTTTGTCTCTATACCTCGGCTGACATGTGTACACCGGCGCACACAGCGGCGCGAGCCATGACCTCAGAGCCGCCCCTCGAAGGTCACATCGCGAACCTCCTGCGCCTCACCACCACCACAACGCCGATAAGCATATACATCGTACCCATTCGCTGGGGCCAGCATGTATAAGCAGGCGACGCAGAGGACGTCCGAGGTATTGTCGCTGCCGTCGCAGTATCTCGGCATGTACTCCGACTTCATCACCAAGAACAGCAGCGCCGTGTCGCAGATCGAGTCGGCGCTGCGGTCGCTGACATATATCATTCCCGGTGCGCATTCTTTGGCGGAGATGCAGGAGGAGAAGATGCTAATGTGATGCAGGACGCTTTCGGGAATCGGAAATCGCATCGGAATCACGTATGTCTTCACGACGGCCTTGGACATAGGGACCGGCTAACGCAGCGCAGTACACAGCGGCGTGCAGATACTCTCCCTATATCATGACTCCCTTCTTTCAAAGGCAATGGCGCGACTGCCATCCCCGCAGCGACAACATGCCACACCGCACAATCGCTACACCAAGTTCTGGACCCAACGATCGCCGATGTATAAGCGAGTCGCGCTCGTACTCCAGATGATCCAGTATACGGAGCTGCTATGGGAGATGGCCGCAAAGAGGAAGGGGGAGAAGGTGCGGTGGCGCGTCATAGTGCTCCTCGAGGCAGTGAAGGCGCTATGTCGACTGCTGCTGCTGCGGTTAACCAATTCCCGGCCACTAGTATCGCCTCCTCTGCCGCAGAGGGAGATCGACCCGAGCTCATTGGAGGAATCGTCCGCGTCGGCGGATGGCATGGATACGCCGCCGAGCGAACAGTCGGCGGAGGCGGAGAACTGGACGATGCCACGCACGGGACTGTCCATGCCCAGCCTGCCCGAATCGTCCGACATCTCAAGCTACCTGCTCTCCAAGGTTCTCACTGCAGACGACATCAAGCCTCCGAAATCGCTGCTCCACCGCGTCAGCGGAAAGGGGGAGCTGGCAGAGATGCTGTATATTCTCCGACCCGTCATTTACGCGCTCGCGATGCAGCATTTCAGCGGCGACAGGAAGAGCTGGCGTCCGTGGTTGATCGGCTTAAGCATCGAATACGGCGCGAGACAGCTGGCCAAGAACGACTTCCGAGAGAGACTTGCGGGTGGACTGCGGGGCTTGACGGGGCTGGAGAAGGAAGAGCTGAAGAAACGCGGATGGGGAATGGGCTGGTGGATGATGCGCGGCGCCTTTTACGAGAACGTCACCAAGTCAGTATCATCAGACTTCCTCTCGATAGTAGTCGGCTAACTAGAAACAGGGCGTGGATACATGCGGTGACGCGAAAGCTCCAGGGCAAACCCCTTCTCGACATTGTCGGTGGTGTTGTTGGGGACTACGAGTTCCTCTGGGACCAGTACTACTTCCCGACTGCGACTCTTTGATTTATTTTCCTATGTACGGACTGGGCTTTGGAGACGGCTTCGGAACCTCGGGTAGGTAGGCTGGGTGTATGATTAGTTCACGGATGGATACCATATACGCATATTGGGTATGCGTGTTGGGGAGGAGAACCGTCCCTTTACGAGACTGCTGGAATGGTCTTGTACGTTTGCCGTACTTTTCTGTGTTCTCGCATTGTATATTCGTTGTAATGCATTTCCTTTCTCGCCGTAAGAGAATAGATCCATTTCCCATTACTTGAATCTCGATCACAATGTCAAGTAGATCTGCTCTTGGCGCTGACTTGGTCGTTACCCCAAGATTGGTCCGAGCTCCGTAGTTCCTTCCACTTTCCGAGAGCTTCGACAACACCAGCGCCCCATCAGCACCAACTCACCACCCCCACCACCACGACACAATCCCCCCATCTCGTCCGCCAAGCCCCCCTCCCTCCAACCTCCACTGCTCTGACGACATCTCACGCCATGCCCGCCACGACAGCAGAGACGCTGTCGCTCGTGACGCGCAACGTCTCGGTGGCACCGCTCGTGCTCCTCTCCGCAGCAGATCACTACGGCCGGCAGGCAAAAGGCACACGGAAACGGGTGGTCGGCGTGCTGCTCGGTCAGAACGATGGCAAGAACGTGCGGGTGTCCAACAGCTTCGCCGTGCCGTTTGAGGAAGACGAGAAAGACCCCTCGGTATGGTTCCTGGACCACAACTACGTCGAGTCGATGAACGACATGTTCAAGAAGGTCAACGCGCGCGAGAAGCTCATCGGCTGGTATCACACGGGCCCCAAGCTGCGGGCGTCGGATCTAGAGATCAACGAGCTGTTCAAGAGGTACACCCCGCACCCGCTACTCGTCATCATCGACGTGCAGCCGAAGGAGGTGGGCGTGCCGACAGACGCCTACTTTGCGGTCGAGGAGATCAAGGATGTGAGTTTGTCCGAGCGATGGGGGGAGTTGGAGCTAATTCGATGACCAGGACGGCACCACAACCAACAAGACTTTCGTCCACACACCATCAATAATCGAGGCCGAGGAGGCAGAAGAAATCGGCGTCGAGCATCTCCTCCGCGACATCCGTGACGTCGCCGTCGGAACCCTCTCCACCCGCATAACCTCGCAGCTCCAATCGCTGCAAGGCCTCCACCTGCGTCTGCGCGACATCGGCCAATACCTCCAAAAGGTACTGGACGGCGACCTGCCCGTGAACCACGCGATCCTCGGCAACCTGCAAGACGTGTTCAACCTTCTGCCCAACCTGTCAACACCGAAGCCGACGCCCGTGGGCGGCGCGACAAACGGCGTCGGCCCCGCAGCACCGGGCTTCGACAACGGCGAGCTCGCGCGAGCCATGAGCGTGAAGACGAACGACCAGTTGATGGCCATCTACCTGTCCAGTCTGATCCGCGCGATAACGGCCTTCCACGATCTCATCGAGAACAAGATCCAGAACAAGCAGGCGGCGGACGACAAGGAGTTGAAGAAGGAGGAGGTGGAGAAGGTCAAGAAGGACGGCGGAGCGAATGGGGAGGCGAAGGAGGGTGACAAGGAGAAGGAAAAGGGTAAGGAGGGTGAGAAGAAGAAGGGTTGAAGGAATGACGAATGATGGGATGGGGTTTTGGGGGCAGATTTGCATGCATGCCTGTGTGTAGTGTACTTGCGTTGCATTGCATTGCATGGAAGTGTACTACTATATCACACTTTTTTGGGTTCCTGGAACATGGAAAGAAAAGAGGCGATATAACGCCCAAACGAATGAATAATTTAACGGCACGATGGATCCGATGTGATGTGAAAGCAATTCCATGCCAGCCAACTTGGGAGTTTTTCATGATGGATTAATTAGTAAGTCGTGCATGACATGTCACTATCGTATCTAAGCTTCCTTTAGATGTTCCTAATTACGTAAACCCATGCACGCATTCACTCATCCATCCATCCATCAAGCCGTGCTGCCACCGGCTGGGTATCAAACAACAACGACAGCAGCTCTCCCCCTCCTCCCACTCACATTCAATCCCTCCAATCCAATCCCACACCAAC